TAGAAGACCCCATTGTCTCAGCTCAAAATCTCCTGAAACTGATAAGCAAGTTCAGCAAAGTCTCAGGATACACAATCAATGTGCAAAAATCACATGCATTCCTATACACCAATAACAGACTTAAAGAGAGCCAAATCAAGAACAAACTTCCATTCACAATTGCCACAAAGAGAATAAAATACCTAGGAATACAAGTAACAGGGAACGTAAAGGACCTCTTCAAGGAGAACTACAAGCCACTGCTCAACGAAATAAGAGAGGACACAAACAGATGGAGAAGCATTCCATGTTCATGGTTAGGAAGAATCAATATCGTGAAAATGGCCATACTGCCCAAAGTAATTTACAGATTCAATGCTATCGCCATCAAGCTACCAATGACCTTCTTCGCAGAACTGGAAAAAATCACCTTAAACTTCATTTGGAACCAAAAGAGAGCCCGTATAGCCAAGTCAATTCTAAGCAAAAAGAACAAAGTGGGAGGCATCATACTACCTGACTTCAAACTATACTGCGAGGCTACAGTAATCAAAACAGCATGGTACTGGTACCAAAACAGAGATATAGACCAATGGAACAGAACAGAGGCCTCGGAGGCAAGACAACATATCTACAACCATCTGATCTTTGACAAACCAGACAAAAAGAAGCAATGGGGAAAGGATTCCCTGTTCAATAAATGGTGTTGGGAAAACTGGCTAGCCATATGCAGAAAGCAGAAATTGGAACTTTTCCTGACACCTTACACTAAAATTAACTCCAGATGGATTAAAGACTTAAACATAAGACCTAACACCATAAAAACCCTAGAAGAAAATCTAGGCAAAACCATTCAGGACGTAGGTGTAGGCAAGGACTTCATGACCAAAACATCAAAAGCATTGACAACAAAAGCCAAAATAGACAAATGGGACCTAATCAAACTCCACAGCTTCTGCACAGCAAAAGAAACAGTCATTAGAGCAAATCGGCAACCAACAGAATCGGAAAAAATTTTTGCAGTTTACCCATCTGACAAAGGGCTGATATCCAGAATTTACAAAGAACTAAAACAGATTTACAAGAAAAATACTAACAAGCCCATTCAAAAGTGGGCAAACGATATGAACAGACACTTTACAAAAGAAGACATACATGAGGCCAACAAACATATGAAAAAATGCTCATCATCACTGGTCATCAGAGAAATGCAAATCAAAACAACATTGAGATACCATCTCATGCCAGTTAGAATGGCAATCATTAAAAAATCTGTAAACAACAGATGCTGGAGAGGATGTGGAGAAATAGGAACACTTTTGCACTGTTGGTGGGAGTGTAAATTAGTTCAACCGTTGTGGAAGACAGTGTGGCGATTCCTCAAGGACCTAGAAATAGAAATCCCATTTGACCCAGCAATCCCATTACTGGGTATATATCCAAAGGATTACAAATCTTTCTACTATAAGGACACGTGCACACGAATGTTCATTGCAGCACTGTTTACAATAGCAAAGACCTGGAACCAACCCAAATGCCCATCTACGATAGACTGGATAGGGAAAATGTGGCACATATACACCATGGAATATTATGCAGCCATCAAAAACGATGAGTTTGGGTCCTTTGTAGGGACATGGATGAACCTGGAAACCATCATTCTCAGCAAACTGACAGAAGAGCAGAAGATAAAACACTGCATGTTCTCACTCATAGGTGGGTGTTTTGAACAATGAGAACACATGGACACAGAGAGGGGAGCACTACACACTGGGGTCAGTTGGGGGGAAATAGGGGAAGGACGGTGGGGGGTGGGGAGCTGGGGAGAGACAGCAAGGGGAGAAATGCCAGATGTAGGTGATGGGGAGGAAGGCAGCAAATCACACTGCCACGTGTGTACCTATGCAACAATTTTGCATGTTCTTCACATGTACCCCAAAACCTAAAATGCAATAAAATAAATAAATGGGAAAAAAAAATGAGACACACACAGGATGGATGCTTCTACTGCATTTCTACTCTTTTAATTATGAATATCATATCGACCCTGAATCTTAGTGACCATTTCTGTTCTGTAAACAAATTGGACAATGAAGAAAGGAATTAAAAATGTTCTTCTTCACTCTTTCTCTTAAACTAAGAGCCTAGAGAAAGAAAGGCTTGCTTTTAAATTTTAGGCTGAATAGGGAGCAATCAAATGTCAAAGGCATTTCCTAAGAAGAACTCCAAAACAAGCCAGCCAAAAAAAAAAAATCTTTGTCAGATATTCTAGATTTATATTCTCTTTTCTTTTTTTTTTTTTCTTTTTTGAAACAAAGTCTCACTCTGTTGCTAGAGTGCAATGACATGATCTCATTTCATTGCAACCTCCATCTCCTGGGTTCAAGTGACTCTCCTGCCTCAGCCTCTTGAGTAGCTGAGACTACAGGCACACACCACCATGCCCAACTAGTTTTTGTATTTTTAGTAGAGATGGGGTTTCACTATGTTGGCCAGGCTGGTCTTGAACTCCTGACCTCCTGATCAGCCCACCTTGGCCTCCCAAAGTGCTGGGATTACAGGTGTGAATCACTGTGCATGGCCTATAGTATCTTTTCTTTTTTCTATTAAAAATACTTTCATTTCCAGTCTTAGAATCCCTGGGTAATACTTAAATACTACCATGTTACAACCAGGGAGGGGAAGGGAAGAGACATCTGCCATTGCCTAGGCTCCTGTTGCAATGCCTTCCTGTCTTCTGCATTTCTGTAGTGCCCTATTCTTTATTGTATGCTCCTATTTTGCATCCTGGTCCATTTCTCAAGGAAGTGGAAGGGCAGAAATGAGAAAAAGAATTGTGAGAATAAAAGGCTACCTCTCGAATGAACTAAGATCTTTACTTTTTATACCTTGATTGGTTACATACACATTTAGGAGGGAATTTATCAGTATTTGCATTGCTATCTTCATCAATAAAATTAAATTTGCTAATGGTTTCATGGAATTAGGGAATTATATGCACTTAGCAAATGTAATATGATTCATTTTAAGCAAACTCCCTTTTATGAATAAAGTATTTTTGTAAACATTCTTACAGCAAGTTGTTTTGAAACTCAAAAGTGCCAATGTTAATAACATCCATAATTATTTCTCTACGGCTTATGCTGTTATATAAGAAAAACTAGAAAAACTGATAAAAAGGATTTTAAAAAGAGTCCTCAACTTGAATTAAATAAGTGAGAGATAGAACAAATTATAGTGCTTATGCTGGGAAAGCTATTTTTCAGCTTTTGAATTTTTTAGTTACAGCATGACTAAGAAAAAATTGAACGCCTACATACCAGCATACACAATGTGTTTTAGTTAGGGAAATTGGTTTTAACAAAAGAATACTGGAAATAATAAAAAAGGAGAAAAAAAAAACAACAAAAAACTCTTCTGTCTCGTTACTTCTGACTTTACCTCTGACTTTACTCACCTAGAAAAACCCTAATCCTCTTTAAAAACCCAACTCTCCACCTACTATCTGCCTGCACCAAATAGCAAAGTTGGCTAGGCAAAAACATAGGCTAAGTTCATTTTAAATAGAGAAACACTCATTGGTCTCATCTTAAATTTATACTCACTGACCTAAATGGGGCTTCAGCCGTCCCACTATATTTATGTAATCAATGTATACTACTATTTTTCTAAGCTGGTGTTTCACATCCATACCCTTTCCTTTTTCCTCCAACTTCCAACATTTCTCTCTACTCCTCATTCTTAGCTAATGAGCTTGCCTCTTATTCCAATAAAAGACTGAGAAACCAGAAAAGAATTACTTTATTTTCCCACTATAAAATCTACCCCTATGTACTCTGTGTTTTCTTCCTTTATGATGGGAACCATGTTCCTATGCAGGACCAACTCCTCTACTTATGCAATGCATCTCATTCCTTCTGGACCATTCACTCCTATAGCTATTCTTTCTCTTATATCTTCAGTTTCTACTGAATCAGTGTAAGTGCAGGCTGCAGTATCTCTCATTTAAAAAATACTCTTCTCTAAGACATACAAGTGGCCAAGAAACAAAAAAATTGCTCATTATCACTAGCCATCAGAGTAATACATATCAAAAGCACAAAGAGATACCATCTCACAGGAGTCAGAATAGCTTCTATTAAAAAGTAAAAAAAATAACAGGTGTTGGGGGAGCTGCAGAGAAAAGGAAACACTTATACACTTGTTGGTGGGAATGTAAATTGGTTCAGCTACTGTGGAAAGCAGTTCAGAGGTTTCTCAAAGAACTTAGAACTACTATTTGACTCAGCAATCCCATTATTGCATATATATCCAAAGGAAAATAAATCATTCTACCAAAAAGACACATGCATCGGTATGTTCATCACAGCACTATTCATAATTAAAAAAAAAAAACATGGATTCAGCCTGGTGCCTGTCAATGGTGGATTGGTTAGAGAAAATGTGATAAGTAAACACCATGGAATACTACACAGCCATAAAAAAGAAAAAGTCACATCCTTTGCAACAACATGGATGCAGCTGGAGGCCATTATCCTAAGCAAACTAATGTAGAAACAGAAAACCAAAACTTCATGTTCTCACTTATAAGAAGGAGCTAAACATTGAGTACACGTGGACATAAAGATGGAAACAATAGACTGGAAAATACAAGAGGGGAGAAGAAGTGGGGGAAGGTTTGAAAAACTACGCATTGGGTACTATGCCTGCTACCTGGGTTCAATCATACTCAACATCATGCAATATACCTTTGTAACAAACGTGCACATGTATCCACTGCATTTAAACTAAAAGTTGAAAAAAATTCTTCTCTAGACCACACATCCTAATTATTGTCCTATTTCTTCTCTCTACCTTGCAGTACAATAAAACCTTCAAAAGCTTCCATTTCAGGCTTTCCATATCTACCTCTTCACTTACTTTTCTTTCTAGCCACTCCATTCAGGCTGTCTTCTCCATTTTTCCACAGAAACCATTCTTGTCAGGATCCCCAGCATTCTCCTTCTAGCTACAACCAATAGTCAATTCTTTTTTTTTTCCTTTTATCAACTTTTATTTTAGGTTTGGGGGCACATGTATGGGTTTGTTACATGGTTAAATTGCATGTTGCTGGGGTTTGGTGTACAGATGATTTTGACACCACCTCGGTATCCAATAAGTAGTTTTTTACTCTCACCCTCCTCTCACTGAACTCCCTCAAGCAGGCCTCCATGTCTATGGTTTCCATCTTTGTGTTCAAGTGTGCTCAATATTTAGCTTCCACTTACAAGTGAGAATCTGTGGTATTTGGTTTTCTGTTCTGTGTTAATTCGCTTAGGATCAGAGGCCAGTTCTTAGTTCTTATTTGACCCATCAACAGCATTTGACACAACTAAGTTCTCTCTCTCTCTCTTAAAATGCATTATTCTTTCTTTGGTTTCTGAGACACATGCTCTGCTAGTATTCTTGTTGCCTTAGGAACTTCTTCTTAGTGTCCTTACTAAACCTGCCAACTCTTTCAGTCCTTGGCATTTTTCTTCCTCCTTCAACTTCCTAGGTATTCATATCACTTTTGTGGTTTTAAATCTTTATGTGATGCCTTCCAGATTTATACTGCCCACCTCAAACTCTCCCTGAACTCCACCTCAAACTCTCCCTGAGCTCCACACTCCTGTATTTAACTGTTCATACTTACTTGAGTGACTGATAGACATACCTGCATCTGCAGTTAATGAAAGCAGAAAAATGACCAAAACCATATCTCCCTGTTATGGATAGACTGTGTCTCCCCCAAATTCATATGTTGAAATGTTAATCTCCAATATGATAGTATTTGGACATGGAGCTTTTGGGAGGTAATTAGGGTTAGATGAGGTCATAGAGTGAGGGCCTGGTCTGATGGGATCGGTATCCTTTTAAAAGAGACACCAAGAGCTATCTCGCTAGCGCTCTCTCTCTCTCTTCTTCTCTCTCTCTCTCTCACTTTGTCTCTCTGCTATGTGAAAACATAGAGAGATACCAGCAAGACAGCCATCAACAGGAACCAAATCGACCAGCGTCTTGATGTTGGACTTCCCAGCCTCTAGAACTGTGAGAAATAAATTTCTGTTGTTTAAGCATCCATTTGCTGGTATTTTGTTATAGCAGCCCAAACTGACTAATACACTCCTCTATGCTTTCCAAACTGCTCCTCCCCAGGTTACCCCATTTTGATAAGTGGCACCAGTATTTATGCACTTGCTCAGGCTAAAGGGCCAGAGCCCATCCTTGATTTTCTTTCCCGCATTCCTCATCCAAATTCACCAACAAATCCTATCAAGTCTTCAATATATATCCTGCATCTTGATTATTTCTTGCCACCTCAACTGCTACTAATGTAGCCCAAGACATGTACATTGTTGGCATAAACTACAGTATAGCCTTCTAATGGATCCCCTTGGTTCCACTCTTTAATATGCCCAACGCTATTTCCTACATAATATTCTCCACACAGCAGCTGAGATATATTTTAGAAAGGTGTGTCAGAAAATGCTACTTTCCCTGCCTGAAATAGTTCATGGTATCCCAGGACATTCAGAATAAAATCCAGCTGCCTAAGTGGCATCTCAAATGTTCTCCATCATCTGGCCACTGTTTATATCTCCATCCTTCCAACTTTTTGTTTATTTTCTCTGTTCCAGCTGCATTTGCTGCTTCTAAGCATGTTCATTGCATTCTTGCTTCAAAGCCTTGCAGGAGCTAGTTAGTTCTTCTGAAATACTCTACTGTCGGAGCTTGGCAAGACTCATTCCCTTACTTCATCTAGGTCTCTGTATGAATGTGGCTTCCTCACAAAGGCCTTTCTTAAACATTTTATCTAAAATAGTGACTACCTTGTTTTTCTCTCCCCCTTACCCTGCTTTTTTCTCTTCACAGCTCTTACAGTGTTTTTTAATCAATTCTCTTCCATCAGAATGTAAACTCCATGAAGACATGTTTGTCTTTACCACCAAATCCACACTGCTATCAAGAGCCCCTACCCAAGAGCAGACCCTCTCTAGATATGTGTTGAATAAATAAGCAGTTTTCAAATGCTTTTCTAAAAATGTAGAAATTGCTATTTATAAATTTTAAGGTCTAAAATCTGATTTCAAAAATGTGTTCTCCTTTGACTGAGAAGTGAGGGACCCCCACAAGCAAATGGTCACAACATGCAGACCCTGTAAATAGATTTCAACGCAAAGGTAGAGGAGTCAGCAAGGCTTACAAACACGCTTACTACCATGGTGAAAGAGTGAGGAAAATGGAGAAACACAATTGTATTTGCTTTTTGGATCCTTGGTGAGCAGAAAGGTGAAAGACATTGGTTCTACTATGCCAACTATTATCTTCTGACGCCCACATCTTTTGAGCTAGAGATAACACATGTTATTTGGGCTTTGCTGGAGTTTGTGCTGAGACTGCTATTGACCCCAGAAAACAAAGAGTAGTTTGTTCTCTTCCCTTTTAGTTTTTAACCTTCCATAGAGCCTGAGTTTTACTGCCATTTATCTATCCCCCTCCTGAATTCCAATGCCGATTCCCCAGTTCCAACACCGATAATGACCTGAAGTGAAATCACGCAACATTCCCTAAAATGCAACCTGTTATTTTCCTTACCTGGCCTTTATAGCCTAAAATTATTATAATGCCATCCCTGAAACACAACAGTAAGATATGTTTAAAATATCAATCTGAAGAAACAATCAGGACTTTTCATTCAGCTGTGAAAACGTACTAATGCAAATAGAACAAGCTAATGTATATTTGATTTAATAAGCAGAGGATCTAAAAGTTATGCTAAGTAGTTTATCCAATCACAGCCTCAAATACTTCTCTGGGCACTCACTGGATATAACTGGGAATAAGAATAAAAGGGCAAGCACAAAAATATTACATCTAAATTCGTCAGCAATTTAAATGAGCCAGCCATTTGTGGACTGCGTTGGTCATGATATTGCTCATCGCTACCTTGTAATGACATGCTAGGACAAATGCTCAGAACAACAAATTCTTTCCACGGTTGCTTGGTTGGCCTTGAGCAGCAAAAGGCAACTGGATTTATTTGTTTTGGCAGTAGCTCAGTGGGAACATAAACTAGCAATGCTAGGGAACAGGGGGTCTACAAAGAAAAGGAAGTTCTACTCATATACTATACTAAACCCTCAAATGCCAGCTGCACTTAAACCAGAAGCAATGTGAGTGGTAAACACTAACATTTTCAAAGAATTGTCTAATATTCACGGTAGAATCTATAAAAGGTGACTTTGAATAATCACTTCCCAGCAAATCTGTAAAAGTTTTATAAAATATGCTGCAAAAATGACTCACAGTAGATGTAATTACTGTGCAACCTTGGAAACTGATGTAAAAAATTCAGCTGCCAGCATGTTAACGGCCACCTAATATATGGATTGTTTGATTGGACTCTTTCGGCAAAACTGAAAAATTCCTAACCCATTGCTGCTATATATTTTATCAGGGCCAAATTTAGCTACTTTCATTTTTTAAAATGCCATTTTAGACATCAAAGTGAATCAAGCCAGTGTTGCTTAATTGCTTGCATACATTACAATCTAATCCATTTCCCAAACACTAATTTAACTAGTTATTATTTATTTTTATTTTTTTGGAGCAGTAGCAGAGCTCTAATGCCTGAACTATGAAACTTGACAAAATCACTGCTTTCTTAAAAAAAAATCTGTTAAGTATCAGCAGTGAAATTTTCTTCCTTATGCAGTCAGCAACTGTTTGTTTATTTTTTAATGTATTCATTCTAAATTAACAGTTTGGTATAAAAGTATTTTATTGCCCATATTCTGTTTTGAGTTGTAATAATATAGTGTTTCTGTAGGTGGAAAAAGAAGCCAAATTTTAGAAGGGTCCCTTGCCATATTTTTACCCTATACTTCTGGCTTGGTGGGAATGATCAGGTATACTGTCAGTTTAACAGTGAATGCCAACCAAATATGTCAACTTTTGAAAGATGTCCTCATCTTAAGAAATGCTCACTCAATAATCATTGCCATTGTTTGGCCTGATGGGTGGTCACTTTTGGAAAATTAAACGTAAATTGATTTTTTTTGGAAAACTGATTCTATGTTAATGCCACTACAGGTGTTTGCTAGTTAAATGACCTTACCAATGAATCTTTTAGGAGAGAGACCATCCCCCCATTTTGTAATAGAATAATAAATTCACTTCTCCCCTTAAGCTTACCTGTTTGGTAAACTTACATATATAACATTTTCTCCAAAGCAAGGCTTATCCCAACCACGGGTAAAAGATTGGATGATAAGAATTACTCTACTGGCCTTCTTCTAGATTAATATTTAGGGCTATCAGGATCAATCCCCCAAATACAGTAGCTACCACACAAAGTGAGTTGAGCTCTCAGTCTGATACCTTCATTGCACACCCTCTATTTATTCTAAGACTTAAATTGCAAGTAGGCAGGGATTTTGTCTTATTAGTCTATGTGCCCCAATGAATATCTGTCAGATTGAATTATCAGTTTTGTACAGTGGAAATAATGTCTGATCTTATTCTACTGTTCACTTTGGGGGAACACTTTGATTTACTTATAGAGAACTAAAGTCAATTTTAAAGAAAAATTTTAAAAATCCACATAAAAATTTACTGAAGAACAGGTTTGGTGGTGAAGCTTTCAAATATGTCAATAACAATAAGAGCCCTCTGTTTTCTACATTTCCAAATTCCATAACTATAGGTGTTGAAACTCAAATTGTTCTAGATAATTAATTTCAGTCCTATATAAATATACTTATAGATACTGTGTGAAATTTAATTTCTCAGCACTCAATTTAATCTATTTGAAGGATTAGAATATTTTGTTCCTAGTGTGATGAACTGGGCAAATGCTGAGCCCAGAAGTTATTTCAACTGCAAACACTGCTTAAACCTTTAATTAGTTTAAACATGTTTTCTTAAGTCATTGTGATCAGTAATTAGAAGACCCTAGTCTACTTTGCCAGTTAATCTTAGTACATAATTCTCAACAACCTAGATTTCAGGATGGCAATTTTACTTCAGAAGCTGTAGAGTATACAAGATTTAGAAAATTTTATATTGTCTAGAAACTCCCAGCTATCAATACAATTTGAAATGCCTATGAAGTTTTAACTGTTATACATCGTATCAGTTAATTTGGGGACAGGTTTCTTATTGTAACAAAAAAGGTTAAATTACCTAACATACATGCTACACTTGGTGATAGTGCAGAGCATTATTTCACTTTTGAAACTGATGGGTTTCAGGAAATGATAAGCCAAACTATGGTATCTTGGCATATTGAATATTTTAAGCTGAAGGAATTTGAGAAACCACAGGAAGTTCTCTCTGGCCTTTTCTGTCCTTCTCTTGTGAAGCAGGTTATACTCCTCTCATACAGGAGGTGCCCTCCTTCAACCCTGAGGAAAGGAGCATTCTTACCTCTGAATACGGGACACTGAAGGGAATCAGAACTAACAGGCCTTCCTAGCCTTCCCCTCCATTTATTATACTTATCCTCTTTGTCCTAATCCATTTTTCCATGACTTTCCACTTTTCAGCAAACCTAGCATAAAAATCGTCAGATTTAACCATTTCTTTGGGTCTTCATTTCCTTATGAAGGCTCCTGTGTCACAAAAAACTTACTTTAAATAAATTTGTATGCCTTTTTCCTACTAATCTGTCGTTTGTTAAAGGAGCCCCATTCAAGAACTAAGGAGGGTAAAAGGAAAAAGATGTTTTCCCTTTCCTGTAATACTAAGAGTTAAGAATGATTTTTCCAGCTCAAAAACATGAACCATAGAAGTACAGATCCTGTTTTGGCCTCCATTAATATTTTATAGACAGTTAATAAAGATGCTATTAGTGTAGTAAGAATGCAAAAGAAACTACATACATTTCATTCAGAGTTCTTTTAAAAAATGAGTACTTGTAATGTTAAGGATTAAAATAAAAAGGATGATGAAAAAATGTCAAACTGCAGAACTCTTTCCGAAGGAGACCCCATCATCAGCCTGCTACTGAGATGAGGCATTGGTCAATCTTCTCTGGTAAGGGAGGTGGGGCATGCTGGAGGGAGAAAATTCTATCATTCTGAAGCATCAGAGAAGAGGAGTTTAAGAGAGATAAGACATGACTTTGCAGGAGGCAACAGGAAAGGCTGTGATTTTCCTGTAGAAGTACTGAAGGGCCAGAAGAATTTGGAGTGTCAATGCAAGCAAATTCTCTTTAACAACCTCTGCCTCACTATATGCCCAGATTAGGGAAATCTCTTTAAATAATCAACAATAAAACTAGACATAATTTTAAATTATCCTTTAAAATTTGGTGGCAAACAAAAGCCTGTTTATTAAAGAATGTGATAAAGATTGAAAACACAATTTTATCCTTCTTAAAACCCCTGAAGGCTCAGAAGAATAACAAAAAGAGCAACAGCAACAACTTGGGTTGATACAGTTCCTAACAATTAACAAAAATGCCTTCACATAGATGGTCTTGATTGAATACTATAACCACCCTAAATGTGAACAAGGCTAGCTAGCATTTCCATTTTATAGAAAGGACATTGAGGCTTTGAAGAGATTGTCAGTTGTTTTCAAAAATATATGTCACTCTCAATTAAAAGTATTTTTTGACCAAATTAAAAAAGAACCACATTCAGAAAGCTAGAATATTCATTGGCAATAGCCTGTAAATGTTACACTGCAAATTACATGGTATTCTGTTCCACGCAGAGATTTTGGGTCTCTTTAAAAAAAAAAAAAAGGCAGAAAGTTGAAATACCTGACCACCTGCTTCAATATCAGACATCTGGCAACGCGTAAGGTTAGATAGATAGTTTAATAGAAAAAACCATTTATATATAGCAGATAATGATCTCTAACTCAGACTTGCTTCAAATTTAGAACACTCTGAAGTAACCTACAATGTTTCCACAAACCTAAGAAGTCAACTTTTCTAGTCCTCTCTCTTCCTGATAGCTTTCTGAACTTCACCAACTATCCAAATTGCGATGGGATTGTGGATAAGGGAAAGTTACGAGGACTGCCAAGTGTAATGGTGCTCTTTATTTACCGCAAGGTACTAGTTTTCCCATACTTTCAGATGCCATGCTAAGTTCATCCCTGAATGAGTGTATTTTGGCCCTGTGGATCTAGTTTAATTCTGTTGCTGGAGATTATATGAGAAGTAAGCCCTCTATTAGCTCACTGAATGACACTGGAATATTTAAAGTATGTCTGAGACAGAAAAGACTTAACAAAGTTTATTAAAACTATTCTCATTGCCTTTTTACTCACTGACTAGACAATGTTTATTACATTCAAGGAACTGTAGTAGGTAGGGAAAATGCTTGAAATAAAATTTTAATACTGATAATTTTTAAAAGGTTTTATTTATAATTAAAAAAATGCTATGGCTGAAACCTTTGAATTCCAATGGTTACGCTTGGAACATAGACACTGGCCTATATTTTATTTTCTTCTGAGCTAAATGATATTGCCTTGAAAAGAGAAGAGAATATCTTAATCACAAACTTTATAAAAAGATTGCTCGACTGCTACTATATGAACTTTTAGTATATTGTGTCCAGGAATATGCATGTAGTAGGATTTCAAGTCCTCTTTACCAATAATTTAATGCTGCCTCTCAATTTAATGCCTATTGCCTTTTCACCAGAACGCAGTTTTTACTGATGATAATGATGGTCATTAGGGCCTTGGAGACTTTTAAAAGGATCCAAGGATGAATGAATAAATAAAAACCATGATGACTCATTCTGCACTGAATGCCATTAGTATAACACACAGCTCAGCACAGTTCCTATTCCCCAGGAAACTGCACTATTTAAATGCATGTTAAAAAATTTTTAAACAAAATGAGTATAATTTATTCAGAGAATAATATGAGACTGTGGAATGTCAGCAGCTAAGCAGGCAAGATGCAAAAAGGAGATACATTTTACCAGGCTGATATTTTCTCTAATACTACTCGTAGTAGAACAACAATCAGGTTCTGTCAGGCTCTGTGTTCATTCCTTCTTTCCTGAATGAGAGGAGCTTGTTTCTGTCACATTTTCATTGCTTTATTTTATATTTTAAATGTATTAGAGAATATCCAGTTGAATTTCCTTCTAGTATTGTTTCAGGCTAAGTGAAGGAAAAATAAATGCTGGGATCTTAGAGCACCATGTTTTATATTAATTAAATTAATATGGTTCAGCCAATCTTTCCTATTCATATACATGAAAATGTGAATGTGTAGACCCTGCCCTTAAAAATGAGCATACAAGTATACAGAGATATGCTCTGAATTATTTGTTTTGTGAAGACATGTATCATTTCCCCAAAACTAAAGCTGCCACAGGATGGTGCGTTATGAGCCATTATGGGGCATTTTATTTCACAAAGGATTAAACCACGGAAAATCCCAAGGCTTAAAAAGATTTATGTTAATTAGGCACTGAATTTACTAGTATAGTCTCTGTTTTTCCCTTTATGAGCTGATTTCAAAGTCATTGATAGGCTTTCTCATGACTTACATGGTACGAAGCCACTTCTCTATTTTCCATACACCTATTTTCCCTTTCTTCTTGCAGCAGACAGGAGAGCAGTGAAAAAGACACTGAACCAGAACTCAGAAGCAAAGATTCTCTACCTTACTATCCATGAAGGAGCCAGGTGAGTGATCTTGGAATCATGACCAGATGCATCTGTGCCTTGCTCCCTTCCCTGCAGTGTAAAGATAATAATACCACAGTGTTGGTGGGACATAACTTTTATTATGTTGTTTTGCCTGCAAAGAAACAATCAATCACCAAAAGTCCTAAAGATTAAATGTTAGTTCTAGAAAGGTTTTTGCTTTAAACAAATTAGGTATATTAAAATCTGCATTTAAACAAAAAGATAAATGAGCAGGTAGTTATTCACTTTGCTTTTGAAATATCTTATTTAGGAAATGCATTTTAAAAGCTAACTTCCATAAAATGTTCAAAATACAATTTAATTTGCAAATATTGAATTCAAATGCACCTATAGCAAGGTCTGACATACAACTGCATTTTAAAACCCCTGAGAGGCTTCACATGCAATTTAGGCTAATTTGATAAAGGAATAGTAGATCGAATTGGAACTGATTGTTCTGAATCAACTGTCAGTCAGTGTCATTTACATGAAGGTGATCCAATAAAAACCAAAACTTTCATTGGCCTGGGAAGAGTGAGAACTTCTTATTGCTGCTTAAATGGGAAATTAACCAGTTGGTCAGCAAAATGTTCTGACTCTTGAGCCTGACTTGCATGATGAGAATGAAATGTGTCTCTTGGTTCAGAACCCTTTTTTGGTAGCTAGCTACACAGTAAAATATGCCAAGTGCACACTGGAGTGTCTCTGTCTCTTAGCACTATGAATCAAAGCCCCTTCTGTAAAATATTCCTGGAACATAAATGGTGGAGCTTCCCTCTGAGTCAGAGTTGGTGTGGGGGATGACGTTTTCACTTTCACTTGTGTGTGGAGCGTGAAGCCAGATTTACATTGGGGTTGGTTTAAATTCTGTAAATCATCTCTAAAGAATAGTGTTCATGGTACTATGTATGCAAACCTATTCACTAATATGCACTGCATAATGTGTGCAGCATTATATGTTAAACATGGTTTGGAATATAATAAAGAGGGTTACAGAGTAGGAAAAATGCATTGCTTTAAACTCTGGAATCCTCATAGAGTAGTAAGAGGTTCACACAGAAAATATAAAAGAACTGAGAACAACAGTGGGAACAGTGGATTCCTCTCTCTCATCCTGTACTCTCATTGACTGGATGGGGGCCAAAGTCTCCCATGTTGCTTATGTTAATCTCTCTCTCTGACGAACACATATGATGTTGCTCCACAATCTGTACTTTCCTTTCAACTGTCTAATGGTCCTCTTACCTGCTTGCAGAACTGTTGTCATTTGAAATAGAATATTCTAAAACACAATGGTGCAGCTTGGTGAATTTTAGGTTCTTCCCGTTTCTTGTACAAATAGAGTTATCATGTCCTCTAGAGTCCTATGTACATCAGTTCAGGAGGTAGAAGGTGACATTCATTGTAAAGAGATGAGGACTGATGCACTAGAAGCAGAACTGGATGCCACAACTTCACATTCCATTTGAAAATCCTTAGTTTTCTTCTTCAAAGCAAAATTCTTCCCTTTAAATGGTTCTTCTGCCACTGCAGTGATGTGCTACTTGGCTGCAGCAACTCTGGGAAGGCTAGGAATTACCACCACCATCAGGATACTACTACTTGTGCCATTGCATCACACTTGTGGTTTTCCTAGAAATAAAAGACAGCAATCTGGATGTTGATGTCAGAATGGATCTGCAAGTATTCCAGAAACCTTATTAGGTTTACATATATACAATATGTACATATTTAGTAAATGAAAAATTAGGTAATAAATGAAAATAGGTTGAAACACATAAAGTAGTTCAGTTAATTAGCTCTTAATAATTGTTGTCCATAATTGCCAATATAAACTAGGGGTTATGTATGTTTGCATTTTGAATTGTTCTTGTATCTTTATTCTAAAATCTCTTGTAGAACCAAGCAAGATAAAATATAAGAAATTATATATGTTTAAAAATATATGTGGATATGCACAAGTTGAGTATTCCTTATCAGTAATGCCAGGGAACAGAAGTGCTTCAGCTGTTGGATATTTCTGGATTTTGGGATACTTGGGAATACTTAGAATACTTTGGAATACTTGGGATGGGACCTAAATATAAACACAAAATTTATTTATGCTTCATATATACATTACACATATAGACTGAAGATAGTATTTTATAATATTTTTAATAATTTTGTGCATGAAACAAGGTTTGTGTACACTGAACCACCAGAAAGCAAAGCTGTCACTATCTCAGCCACCTATGTAGACAATCTGTGGTTGTTTGACACCACTATCATTTCTGACTCTGAATTTATATGCCACTGATAAGCAATCATTTTCTTACACTTATTTACTGTTAAGAAAAAGGGTGTTTAGGGTAACTTGTAGTATCACGTTGGTGTTCAAAAAGTTTTGAATTTTGGAGCATGTCAGATTTTAAATTAGGGATGCTCAACTGTATGTTCAATTCAATATGTTCCTTTAGCACTTGCATGTCATATAGCTGTAAGTGCAAAAATATTTAAGTGTCTCACCTGTACAGATACACTCATAATTAATTCCTAAAGCATTCAGAGCATCATTTGTGGTAACAGTCTGTAGCACCATTCTTTTCATCGATTAGTCACAATTCAGGATAATTATAATAACTTAACTCTCAGAAACAATTTGCTCTTTGTAAACCTTTGCAATTCTTTTAAAAATTTTGAGATGGGGGTCTCACTATGTTGGCAAGGCTGGAGCACAGTGGCTATTCACAGGCACAATCATAGTGCACTGTAGTCTTGAACTCCTGGCCTCAAGTGATCCTCCTGCCTCAGCCTCCCACATAGCTGGGTCTACAGGTATGAACCACCATGCCCTTCCACCTGTGCATTTCATAAAGGCTTTTATATGAAAAGGGTCCTCCTGCATCAGCCTTCTGAGTAGCTGGGAATATAGGTCTGAGCCACCATGTCCTGCTACCTTTCCATTTCATAAAGACTTTTATAAGAAACAATAATACTTTTATATTATAAATGCAATTTATTTTCAGTGTATGAAAACTATTGCTTCTAACTGCCATAATAGGTACTTAGATTTGTTTCATCCATTGGTTGTAATGGACTTAGTCTGGGTCTAAATCTGTCCCAGATTTCTGGGATCAGTACAGAAACTAGGGCTATTTCAACAAGATACTTTAAACAACCTAGCATTTCCAGAAGTAAACTTGTCACCTTCCTTATGAAACATATCTTTTTCATCTTGGGAAATATCAACTACTCACTCAGTTGTCCAAAGCTGTAAAACTGGGTCTTACCTTTGTCTCTTTTGTCTTACCTAGTTTCTTTTTTTCACTTCATTCCAGGCAGTCAACACATCTTATCATTTCTAATACCTTAAAACCACTTAAATATGCCTATTTCTCTCTGTTGCTTTACTTTTTCCTTAATGTAGGCCACTGTCATTTGTATGCTGCTTTGATTTCTGCAAAGCCTCCTAACTGGTCTCCTCAACTCCAATTTTCTTCTTCAATCCATCTGGCACACTTCAGCCAGAATAATCTTTTCCTAAAATATGCTTTTTTTTTTTTCTTTCCAAGCTCCTGCATGCTTAAAATTATTCAATGGATTCTGGTCTGAAGTCCATACTTCTTAGCATGACTCATCAGGCCTTTCACAATCTGTCCTGTATTTACTTCAACCAGCTCTGCATGCCCCACCCCTCACTCATTGCTGGAGCCATACAGAATCAACAACAATTCTTTCAACCACCTCTTGCCTCTAAACTTAATTTTGGAAATCTCTCTTCCCTTGATACAGAAGGTCCTGCTCCAACTCTCCTTGGCTTAATCATGTCAATATTCCCAGAGGTTAGACTTGTCTTTTACTGGGGAAGTCTTTCCTGACCATCCCTTGGTCTCCTAATTGTACTGTGTATGTATGCTCCATCACATCTATTCAGCATTCAACAAATATGTCATGTTTCTTCCCTATGCCAGGTGCTGGTTTAGGTGGTTATGATATGTAACTGAATAGAACCATGAAAATTCTCTCTTCAATGGAGCTTGCATTCTCCCAGTGTTATGTCAATTTATCTCACTATTGTCCTTATTCCCTCTTCCTCATTCAATAAAGGCAGTTACTCTCCTGAGATTATTGTCTTATCATGATTGGTACAATGTCCAACCAGTAAATATTCACTTAAAGAATAAATAAACTGAGAAAATGGGAAGCAAAGAAATGCCAACATACTATAATTCTTTTATATTAATTATAATTATTTTGAAACCAGGGAAAACTTGCTTAGAAGTGAAAGAATTTACGCCTTTTGTATTAGTTGGGAACTTGATGAGTAGGCATATGAACATGTCTTCAAAATTATGTGTTACCCTTTCTCCCTCTAAATCTGCTTTCAATCAACGAGTCCTTTTATAACGTCTTTTAATTTCTAGGCTAGTCTGCCCATTTCTGACCACCTGAATCTATAACAGAAAAATCAGTATCATCGATGGAGAAGTCAGGATCAGGGACAGAAAAACTAGATGGTCCTCTGAAACAAAAATGAAATGAACACTAGGATTGAATATACACTTTCTATGGGCTTGAGGTTACTTTGGGAGAAAGATGTTTTTCTTGCAAACCTAACAGCCATACTAAATTCCTAAACTGTGTTTCAGAATTTGAAGTAAAAATCCAGAAGACAATGAAAGGGTTTTTAATATTTTGAAAGCTCCTTGATTTCCTTTTTCTCTAGAGAGAAAGGAGACAGCAGTAATATTTGGTTTTCAAAAGAATATATCAGAGGGACTTGAAAATTCAGGAGCTAATTACTTTTAAGATGATCTCAGGAAAAATTAAGGTGACATATGGAGGTGGGGTGTCTAATATCATTATGATTCCACAATTCCTTTGCAAAACAAGTATGATTTATATGTAATTTTAAAAATATGTATATTTCTTAACTGCCTTCTAAACATACACATCTTTATTTAAACATTTTATTTATATTTGCATCCTCTTAGATACCTTATACTTAATATATCTACGCTATTCTTCTTCAAAGCACTGTTGGTTGTTTTGTTTTTGTAGAGATCACAAGTCCACTTGATATTAGTGACTTATACTTTCCTCTGCTTTGTGAGTGTAGGTAATAGCCTTTTTGTATATCAATTTGCTTACACTGCAGTTTATGCTGGTAATACTGTACATTGCCTGACCTCTGAATGGAAAAATAATAACAAGTTAAAGCAGTCATTTTACCTGAAGTCGATAAGGCCATAACACTCACCCTGTTTTCAATTCACATGCTCAATTTTCATCCACTCACTCTCGACTTTGAGAGGAAGGAATAATGACAGGTTACAGGCACTTTATTTCAAAATTCACTCACAAAGTTATTGACAAGCATTTTTCACAGAAACAGCTCTTCTCTCTGACCCTCATGAGCTGTTTACATGAAAAATGCTCTTCCTTGTAGATTAATGAGAGTGGAACCTAATTCCATACCAAACATGTAGCAATTGCCTTAGCATCTCTGTTTTTGATATGGGAACAAAAGTAGGGATAATTTGCCTCAAATTGCAGTCACTTCAGTCATAATAAAATCTCAGAGAGTACTGTTTGCTTTCAACTTTCATTAGGTAAGCTGGGGCTGTTATTAAGGTACCAACACATAAAAGTTATATTAGCACTTAGCAGAAGCATGGCATTCTCCTCCAGGAGATAAATTCTACCCTTGTCAATAGAATTCCACACCAAATGCAGTAAAAGAGTTTGAAAAGATGAAATAGTGAAGCTTTGCACAAGAAAAAGAAATTCCTTGTTCATTCAAGCTTAAAGGCCACTTTGTTGGCCCAAGGTACTAGGGTACTATTTAGAAAATAAGTCTAAGAGAAACTCTCTCAGGTCAAGTCAAACATGGAGACAGACTTTCAGACATGTTCTCTTTGTCTGAGGTTGTTAAATCAGTTACTTTAAATTTCTGCATGCCTTCAAATGGTATTTCAACTGTGAAGAGATAACAATTTAAGGTTAAGATGGAGTTTATTTCCAGACTTCAAATGATAAACATTTTGTGTGAATCACTGTATATACAATACCCACACATTTTATTTTATTTTTTTAGAACGCTAAGCCCTTTTAAAATGTAAGGTATTGTGTAGGCTGCTGTGATGGAGCTGTTGAAATTAAATCTTTATCTTGACTCTTATCACTATATCTTTTAAATACTTTTAAATGTCTCCAATTTAAGGCTAAGGACAGCGCTGCCCCACTTAACAATATGAGGGCTATTTAATCTAAAATGGAAGAAAAGGAAGGAATGGGGCATCCAAGAGCTTGGCTTTTGCTAAGCCTAATTTCTCCATCTTTTATCTTTACTCCTAGCTTGTCAGAGTTTTTATCATGCCATCATTTGATAGTTGCAAGGTCTTTTAATGAATCTATTGTCATTCAGATTATTTAATAGCCTTAATTGCACAAAATTATCTATTTTAACTACCATAGTAACAGTCAGTTACTATGTACTAACAGTAACAGTTTTTCAGGTGACGTGAAATATAAAAAACACTAATATAAAATATAAAATATAAAAAACACTAATGTTTCTCTGCATTTCTAAGACATATTGATTAGAAACAGCAGCATATGGCATCTGATTCTGTCTAAAGATGCTGGTG